GTCAAACAGCAATAGCAAATGGTATATGGTGATGGTATGAGAAACAATTTTCTACACTGGGAGATCTCCTTTCATCTTTATTACTGGTAACATGACAGTGCAATGTAATGTCAATGAATTTTTATGGCCTGCCACCCTTTCCATTTTGACTGAATTACAGGGATACATTTTCTAGCAATATAATCCTCATGCTATACAGCTGTCTTAGGTAGAGAGTACATTCAAGTCCATGATACTGCCATGGCCAACCTTGTCTCCAGATTTGTCCATCATCAAGCATGAGAGACAATGCATTGACATAGTGAAAATTCAGCAAGAAACATCAATAAATTATAACAAGCTGAAGGTGAATGGAATAACTTATTTCAGAATACTAGCAGATCCCGCTACGCGTTGTTGTGGCTCAAAATGTATCTATTATAAATGTATAACACTTCCCCCATGGGGGGAAATTTTTCGAAAAATTTCTTCTTAGTGAATAGTACACTATCTTGATGTACCCTATTAAAACGCAATCAAAAACGCAAAAACCCGCATCTAAAATAGTATAAATAGAAGCAGAGTTCTTTACCGTAAGCCTTAATCCTAACCATCTCCCTTCAGTGGGAGGAATTTCGACATGTATATTATATAAAAACACGTGCATATTCGAATGCAGTGCTGTGTCAAAATTTCAAAGGAATCGGTAGAAACAAACGAACATTACATTTTTATTTATATAAATAGATAGAAGATAATCTGCTTTAGTTCATTTTCACAGAAAAGCAAACTTAGGGCGTCGTACTCGTAGCGCTATCTGTTGGACATAAAAGCCTTAACCTAGATTATATCTTTTAATTTATATGAATGTTTAACGGAATAATATACAGCCTATGTCCATCCTGAAGTTCCATTTTAAATATTGGTGAAAGAATTTTTGAAATCAGATGAGTAGTTTCGGAGATTACCTGCTGCAAACAAACTTACATACATACATACAAACATTACCTCTTTATAATATTAGTATAGATATAAAGCTGAAAAACTGGATTCTTTCTTTCTATCTTTCTGTCACTGTATGCCAAAAATGGCCACTAGGGGTACCCTAGCTATTATTTAAATTAACAATAAATTCAGTATATTATTATTTGATGCAGTTTTTTGCATTTTTGGCTGTGTTTTAGTAAGGTATGCCATTAGAAATTCAGTATATTATTATTTTTATTTGTAATAGAAATTTATTATTTATATCACAGAATGACATCGCTGCTGCTAGAATGCCCACTAGGGGACATCCCAGGCTACTAAAATAGAAGGATTTAGGAGGATGCACACATGCAACATGGCAAGGAAAAGTGGTGTCACAAATGCATCTTCACTGCACGGCAGCACAACCACACAAGCGGCAATCCACTTACATTTTGGTGCATGTGTTCAGTATTCAAGATGGCAAACGATACAAATACTGCTGCTATCCACGTGTTTACAAATTTTATTTTGTATGGCTTGCTTTATTTAGCTAGAAGATTTTGTCAAAGATTCAAATAAAGATTTTGAATTAGGGATATTTTTGGATTGAGAAAGAACTGGTGAACAAAATAGGTTTATTCCTCGATTAAGATCTCTCGATAAAGAATACTATTTCGAGTAAGATTTGATTGTTTTGTTCTTTGAATTAAATTATATATGATTATTTGTATAGAATTTGTGTTAAATTTATTATCCATTCTTCTTTATTCTGATGTTAGTTATCTGGGTTAACCGCATTGAACATTCCATCATTAATTATTTTCTTACGTGACTACCAGATAAACTGTTTTTGGCTGATAGAAACGTCTTGGCAGCAGTTGCTGCAAAAGATAGAATTCAACCAACTTTTGCAGCATGAGAAAAGCAGCACAAAATTGACTTCTGCGATGAAAAAAGTGACATCATTCTGCTGCTTTTCCTCGCTACGCTGCATGTGTGCATTTTCCTTTAGAAGTATGAAATAATCTAATAATCTTAATCTTTGTTGTTGTATTTTGCCCAGGCAACGCCAGGCTCTGCTGGTTTCAGAATAGAATTATACTTCTTTACAATTCTCTACTGAACTGTATTGCAGCCTGTATTGACAGGAGGAGTAGAAGTACACTCTACTGCTTTTTTAGTTTTTAGCTCTATATCTAAAATAATATGCTTGTTTTCTGTAAAATTTGGATAATTTCTACAGGATACACTATTTTTTTTTACCTGAGTGTATTATTATGATACTAAAGCATGCTATACATATAGTCCTATAATCTACATATATACAGTAGAGCATCGATTATCCGAAAGTCAATTATCCAAAACATCAATTATCCGAAAGAATTCCAGTCGGCAAATTTAAATTTTCACCAATGCTGTGGTGCTGCAATCCTTGGCTATGTCTTGGGCTACTCAAATATTTTACATTTTTGATACTAAATTAACTTCTGAAGTATAATTGTTTATTGTTTTTATATTTTTCAATATATTTATTTTGTTTGTACAAAATAAAAAAATTACTTTTAACAATACAATAGTCTTCATTAGGCTTAACATCAAAGAAAATTCAACACGAAACAGTCCCCAATTGATTCAAATAATCGACACTCTACTGTGTATATATATACACATACATACATACATACATACATACATATACATAGATTATGAAAAAAAGGTTAGTTTATTAACTTATGTATGTAAGTTAATAAACTAATCTTTTTTCAGTTTATGTATTGATATATTGTTAACTTTAATCTTATTGCAGTTTTAAGCTTATTTTCACTCACTGAATTAATAATTTTTTGTTCTAATTGTTAAACAATTTTATTAAAATTAAATATAAATAACAATTTTAAAAATTATTGTTTAACTTTATTCATTTTATATTGTTAAACAATTCAGAGATTATAAATTTTCCATCAAATTTTCTTCAAAAAAAAAAAAAAATTTAAGAGTCATTTATTCAACACTAGCTTACCCATCACGCATCGCTGTGATCTCAGAAGAAAGGAAATTCAAGCAAACTCATTATGATAAAATTCAATTTACATTTTATCATTTTTATTGAAACTTATTATTATTATTCATTTTCATCGAAAAAACATTTCAAAGTGTTGTTTCAATTCTATTTATTTATTGGAGTGCTTGTGGATACACGATATTTTTTGTATTTACGTCTGGTGCATACACGAATAAATTAGAAGGTTTTTGGATGCATGAGCTGCCCACATACAGTTGTCCATGCGAGAAGCACGGATTCTCCAAATTTAACCTACACACTTGCAGCGATTATAAAAATGGGAAATATCGCACTTCTGACACATTTTTTAAAATCCTTTATAATTTTATTTATTTAATTGCTCCTTCCTCTCTTCCTAGGCATGTTGTGAAATTTCTGATAGTTGGATAACGAACAGTTTTATAGTAATTTGTCTTTTTAAATTATTTTGAGTTGATATTAAAATTTGGAAAAGGGGATCCCTAAATTGGTAAAATAGGCAAATTTCCTCCTACAACTTCAGTTGTTGTTCAGGATACAGTTAAGGTTTTAACAAAGTTCGAGCAAATACGTAATTAGCAAAAAATAGTTGAAATATAGTGATTAAACAAAAATTATTACAAATATCGTAAATAACAGTTCACAAATGCATATATAGAGATATTTTTTGGAAGGGGAAATGGTCTTCACAATTTGCAATCCATCGATCTCACGATGAAATACTCGTATACACTCTATCGTAGGATCGCGCCATCTATCGTAGGATAAATGTACTATGCCAGAAACGGAGTGTATTAAAAAAACTTTCCAAAGCTTCATGGCAATCGTACTATGCCAGAAACCTTCACGGGAGTATATTAAACAACTTCCAAAGTTCACAGCAATCGGATAAACGATGTGGTAATGCATGAAAGACAGACACACACACACACACACACATTCATTTTTATATATATATATATATATATATATATTATTTATTTCTTACATCATCTCTCATAACAAATAATATTTCCAATAAGGCATTTTATTATCCATTTAAAATATTCATATCCAAGATATCCATTTATTATATTAAACTGTTTTGACTACAAATATAAATTTAATTTGATTGATCTACAGTATAATAGATATGTTGTTCAATCACTAGAGATTGAACAACATAGTAACAGCAGAATCCATTTCCTGGATTTGGATATAAGTTTTGAGGATTCCATCATACGCACATCTGTTTACCGCAAACCGTCTAATCTACAGTATAATATTTATCAAGAGTGCCATTAGCTGATTGAATTCAAATAGTTTTTAAAAATCTTTTAACAAAAGCTTTATGTTTTATTTAATTTATTAAAATTGATTATATGCAGAAACAAAATTTATATAACTAATCTATTGATTTGAATTACTAAATAAATACCAAACACATTATTATCAGCAACAACTTTACTTCAAGTACTTTCAGTCTAATTTAGACAATCTTTAGGTTATCTGTCTTTTGAATTCTGTATTATGTTTGAAAGATAGAGAACTGAAAATTGTCTAAATTAGACCAAAAGTAAATTTGTATAAAATTGTTACTGATAATAAGGTATTTGCTATTTACTTAATAAAAATTATTGCTGCATAACATTGAAAAAATAAGTTAATAAAATTGGAAATTTTTATTTTAAAAAATAAACAGGTTTCATAATATTATACTGAACTATTTAACAGATTAATAAATAATTTTAGAAATAATTATGCCTGTCTGTTTGTCTTATATTGATAGCTTTTCCAAGCAATTAATAAAATGACTCATATCATTTTGTCCTATTACCTAAAAAGCTATCAGACAGGAAATAAAACCATGAAAATATTAGATATTTACACGTACAAAGTTGATTTTACTAAATGAAATAGTTCAGAATAATAACACTACTTTATTATCTATTTACATTTAAAAATAAATATTTAGATATTTTTATAATCAGTTTATTTTAATTAGAATTTCAAAATAACTATTTCAACCTACTATTTAATATGTTAGAATTTCCTAAATTATAAGTAGAAGAAATAAGTTGGCATTGCTGTAACAAATTTGATGTTTACAAAACTTAATACTTCTGCACTTATCTATATCTTGGCTATAATAAAAGGAATGAAGCTTCTAAACATTTGTACCTGAAAATTTATATAATGAATTAAAAACAAGCTATTACAAAATGTATAAAAAGTATTTTAAATATTTACTTTTAATGACCGTATTACAAATTAAACAAAATTATAAAGATTGAAAATCATAATATATAAAAACACTATTTTGTACAGTAATGAAATTACATCAAATATCAATCATATACTTCAGTATTTGTTTGAAAATATTTCTCATTAATTTCTAATTAAAAAATTTTTTCTAAAATTTATACTTAATTTAAGATGGTTATTTGAATTTGATAAGATACTTTATGGTAACTACTTTATTTTGTCTATTTAATATTGCTTTGCATTTTGAAATGATTGGTAAAATGATCAGCAAATGAGGGTTTTATTTGCTTGTAGTCACAATGCACATGAATTCAGACATTAATTTGGTAGTGGTACAATGAAAAGATTCATTTGATTTTACTGATGGTAACATTTAATAAATATTAAAAAATTATATTATTACTGAAAGAAAAAATATCTATATAGATTTGCTTGTGTATTATTAACATTAATTATTCATCTTAATTTTGAATCAATACATTTTATAATTTATCAAAAAAAAAATTTTTTTTTTTTACTTGTACCATTTTTCAATGATCCTTCAAAAGTTCATAGTTTTGCTATAAATACTGTAAATAAAATATATTTAGTAAATTTACTTAGTTATAAACAATTTTTCTATATATTTACATATTACTTATTTTATTAACAATATTATATACAGGTATGCTATATATAATATTGTTATATAAATAATGGTGTATATAATGTTATCTCAAATAGAACATGTTTATTACTGTTATTTGCTTGGAATACTTTTATAGATAGTGCATGTATAATATTTCTAGTGAGATTTTTTAGTGACAATTTCTAGTGAGATTTTTTGTCTACTTTCTAATTAAACATAAAAATTACAACTAAACTATTTATACCATTGTTTAAACTGGAACATTATTATATTTTATTAAAAAATCAATACTGTCAATTTTATTACAGTTGCTTACATGTTTTAAATAAAAATAAACATACCATATCATATATAACTGGCAAAAATTTAAGTTATTTGAGAAAGAACTATTTAATAATAAAAATGAAAATTAATAATTTAAATTGTTATTATAAACTATAACATTGGTCAATAACTGTAATGATCTCACTAAAGTCAACATTTTTGTGTAAACAATATTGCAGAATTGCAAAAATACTTTGTTACAGTAATTTATATGATAATTAAATATCCTCAAATTTACAATTTATAGTTTTAAAAATATTTTTGATTTATGATGTTAACTGAATTTTTATGAAATAATAATGGATGGAAAATTGTTCAAATGTAAACAACTTCCTTAAAATTCAAATAACTTTTGTTTAATCAATAAAGAAATTAAATTTACTTACACAAAGCATGAGTTATTATGATGTATAATTTACATTAATTTTAAATTAATTGTCATTGAAAGCAGATAAAGAATGGCAAATATATTAACAAAATTTCATATCATTTGAAATTTTAAAATATTTTCTGTTGAACTTAAAATTATGGGTTTATCTTCAAAACAATATTTTCCTACTTGCACTAACTAACATTTTCCAATCTTTTAATATTTATATTCATGTTTCCTCTACTGAGAAAACCCAATAAAATCAAGATCCAATCAATACATCTGTATTTATGCAGGAAAACTATAATATGTAAATGTTATTACATAAATATTTAGTGCATGAAACAGTAGAATATTAAAATTATTTTATGTTCTATATAATAACAAAATCAACTTCCTCTCTCCTTGCTAAAATGCACAACAGATAAAAAAAATAAATGAGTTGTCTGCAAAATTTGCTTAAATATATAATAAAACACCATAGTTTTAATATTTAAATTAATTTTCAATAATTAATCAGGACCAAATTATTAATAAAATTATGTGTAATTATATCAATAGCCTGAACTATATGTAAGAGTTATAAACAATTAATAATGTATTTTTAATGTATTATAATTATATAGGGTGACCAAAAATTACTTAACCATGTTTTGTATGTTTAAAGTACACTTGTCAATATCAATATTAAAAATGATGGATCTAATTGTAAACAATTTTTTAAAGTTCATATATGAAGCATGTAATGCCGTAATGTGGTAAGTGCCATTTTTCTCTAAATACATTTTATCGAAGAGTCAAATCCTAAATGTAATGTTTTCTGCCACAAAAGAATACCATGGCAATATTGGCACCGTAAGTGGCCATATTTCGAAGACAAATTTACATGAAGATGTAATGTTTAAAGTCAAGAGTGCAAGTCACGTGATTGTTGGTGCTTAAAATGTTATGGCTTATATTTACATCATTTTGATATTCCAGTATTCCAGAGAAATTGTAACCTAGTGAGTTTTTACCATAATATTGAGAAATTGAAATGAATTCATTCATTAGAAAAAGTGCTTTTTACCTCTCCTGAAAAGTTTCTTTTTTGGCATTTACAACATTATGACATTGCACACTTCATATAATAAGATATTTAACTACGACAGTAATTTAGTCTCTACAACAGTTAACATCAAGAGAGACCAAAAATTAGTTATCACATTCATTTTTAAGATTTTTATTATTAAACTAGCTGCAAGGACCCGCTTCGCTGAGTTTTTATTTGTTCGTACATTTGTATGTAATATAGTTTTTTTTTTATATATATATAAAAGACTGTTTTTCTAAGTAATCTAGAATCTAGCTGCAAGGACCCGCTTCGCTGGGCAAAAAGTAACGATAGTGAAGATTAAGATAATTACATTATAGCCAATCTTACCCGTTTTCACAAAATGCAAGAATTAGGTCTCACGTTTCCAGAGAATTTTTACATGCATAAAAATATGTTCAATTTTTCGCAAATGCGCAAAAAACCGCCTGTAAATATTGCATGCCGCTTTATATTAACACTTCCTGGTCCCGATTTTATTTCTGAACGTCTCCTGTTCACGCCCAATCAAACGAACTATTTTCAACGTTTCTGGAACAATTACGATCGTTTTATAATCAAACCAATATTCGAATTTTATGTTCGAATTTAATTCAAATATTGTTCGAATTTGTTCGAACAAAACATTTGAAATAGAAAGCCATTTTCAACCACTTTCAAGCCCATATCTCCCGCACCCTTATAGCTATCGAGACGCAACCACCCCTATGCACGAACGGAGACTTGGGGCTACTACCACATACAAAAACCATTCACGTGCGATGTGTAGTTTTGGCGGAAAAGTGAAATATAGGGACATATATATATATATATATAGATATAGATACAGATTCATTCTTGTCTGAAATGTTACATATTTAATAATAAAACTGAAAATTCTTTTAAAAATAAATGAAATAACAATATAAAATCATAAACAATTCCATTGGTAAATTAATACAGCAGTTATGTGCATAAAATGAAGCAAAATCAGATACGAAACTTATATTATCGTAATCACTATAGAATGACTTTTATTAATGCAAAATTTTATTTTATTATTTAAATCATTGCATAATTTTACTAAAGAAAAAAGAGACATTAATAATTGTACAAGATTTTAAAGCATAAAAATAATTAGAATCGTTGCTAATAATTTAAATAAAATCTAAATTATATTACAATAATATGAATAAGTAACATTATCATATGTTAAGTAAATATTCAAATTATTCATGTTTATTTTATGGAATTTAATGTGAAAATATGAGAAAAATTTATTTTTCCCTTCCGATTATTATTTTAATATTTAATTTAATTGCATATAAAGCCTATAGATAAACAAGTGGGCAGAGGTTACTTTTAGTTAATTTGTGTATACACGTATACTGTATATACACAAATCATCTAAAAGTAATCTCTATCAAATAAGCGATATGCCACAATTTCCGTTATAATTACTTATTATTTACATAAATATAATCTCTTTCTAACTAATAAATTAACTATTTAGTTAATTACAATAAAAATAATAGTAAATATCGGGGGAAAAAATTACATTAACTTTCCCGAATCGTTAGGCCTACGACTATAATGGAAAATTATGTGATAACGTCGCGAATAATTAATTATATCAAATATATATCATAATTTCCAATAGATAAAGGTTAAATGAATAATAAAATAGTTCATACTTCGTTCATATGTTGGACATTTTGCCACAAGTCAAATATTTTGAACAATCGGCCGCCCGATTGCCGCCATTTTGAGGAATGTCTAGAAATACAAACGATGCTATAACTCCATTAAACATGCATTATTTATCAATGTTATCTAATGAGAAAATAATGCTAATTATTTCTGTATTTAATTTATTAATTTATAAAATTTAATCGTCTTTATTAATATAGCTTTGTTTGTTTAGTTTACAAAATTTTTATTTTATTTTATCGGTTGTCGGGATGGTTAATTACATACAATTTGAGTGATTTTAAATTTTTAATAATAATTTTCTATTTGTTTTGTAAGATTTGTTATCTTTTTTTAAACTTTAAAAATTTAAAATTGAATATTTAAAAATAAATTTTAACGAGATATATTGTTAAAATTATTCATCGCGCAGTACTTTTTTTTTTTTTTTTAGCTCTTTTCACCCTGTTGGCGCTAAGAAGGCCTCTTTTTGCAATGGATTCGGCCAGGGAGGGGGCGACAACAATGGGAGGGGGCGACGTATCCTGACGGAAAGCGATCAAGTTTTCAGTTCTTCGTGTTTAAAGGAATTTTTAATTTTTTTTTTTTTATTTTTTTTTTTTTCAGTGGACATCTTCGTTGTTTTTAGAAGCATTTATCGATAGATTGGGTGGAGAAGAAAGATTTCTTCACCACCAATTTAAGTGTAAAGTGTGCGTTGGAGCATGTTGCATCTCAATCCCTGTTAAGCTCTCGTACTGACACGCTTCTTAATGAAACCATTCATTTTTCTCACCCCAAAATCGATTTTTTTTCTCCTCACCTCATAAATAATTCAAAAGTAATTAGCGACTAGATCTTATACAGTACATACTTCCTAATAAAAGTAAGTTATATTTATATATATTCATACCTTAAAAAAAATCCAATGTTTAATTAGTACAGCAGCATGAAAAATTAAATCCTGTTTTTATAAGTAATTTTAATGGAAGAATTTTTGTTATTTTTTGAGTAAAGTAAGTCGAGAGATTCAAATAAATCTTTAATTTAATCAT